ATCATAGACTGAATAGTAGCATGGAGCCTTCAAATGATGATCAAATCATAACTGATCAAATTACAAATGATGATGAATAGGTTAAATTGTCAATGTTGATCAAGTCAGCCCTAGCTGGACCCCTTTGCTTTAGTTTCTCACACATGTCTGAAAAATTAAGTAAGCTGGAATGTAACATTTCCTGAATGTTACAACCATACACATATCTATAATACTTATGTACAATATTGTCAGATCTAATACCTATTCTTCAGAAAAAAACACAAAAAACATTGATATGGAGTATGAAATACCATGTACAAGTTATTCAATTACATAGTAAAATTAAAAACACAGGGTGGGAATAATGACAATTTTTAAGTTCAACCTAATTCTCTAATGTAATCTTGCAATAACCTTTTAACATGTGAAAGAACAAACACTCAGTCAAGTCAAAAGGCTACACACTCACACAATCCCGGCTGAAAAATATTAACATATCAAGGGCAGATCCAGAACTACTCTAAGGGGGTTACCAAACTTTCATCACCAGAGACTAACCAGTATTTGAAATAAACATTTTCAAGAAATAATTATTGTGCTTTTCCTTTCACTAAAGGACGGTTTTATCAGGTGGTTGTAAAGCTTGAAATCCCCTTCAAAATAAGTTGAAGTTAAATTTTTATCATAGGACAGTGCCCAACATTCCAGGAATGGGTTAGATCCCTCACTCCACTGGATACAGTTCTGTATATCTACTGTAACCGTGAAAGTTCATGAAGATCATCCAGACACTCAAATGGTTCTCACGTATGACACTTGTGGCCTCAAACATTCACAGTAAAAAGATTTTATACATGGATTACTATTATGGCTATCTTTCTCAATTCAGTATTATGCTACTTGTCAAAACATTATCAGAGTACTGTACTGTACATGAAAATTCAACATATATTTAGCATTAAACTTTCAATACATTCAGATACCAGCAGCAAAATGATACTACTACGTACAGCAGTACTTGAATTATCTTTATGGCTACATTTCTCAAAACTGTTCGATTTACATTATTTAAACATTTTACCCAAATTTATAAAAATAAATAAATAAACAAACAGAATGCCTGCATCGTCTACACCTTAAGCTACAAGGCCTACACTGGCAGTAGGATAAATATACTTACATGGGAAATAACTGATGAACCTTGCTGTAAAAACACAAGGATATTGTACATGATGATCTTTAAGGCATCTGAACTGGAAGATATTCTGTGTTTACTTGGTCTTATAACATATTACAACCAGTAGGAATATGACTTTAATGTTAAAAATTATATTTGCCATAAGGGGAAAATCATACAGTCATCCATCCACCTCTGATGTACTGTTCCCTGTTGCACCTGATAATGAGGTTTTCACTAAATGTTCAGCAGATGGTTGATATATTTGTTATAAGATAAATCAAGAAGTTGTTTCAGGAATAATTTAAATCAACCCCAAGTCACTGAATTAGGCAATGTGGTCAATGGCTAATTCCTGATGAAAATTTAACTCAAAATGCTGTAACAGGTTCTGATCATATGTAACTACTGTACAATGTACCCCAATTTTACACACACACAAATGCAGGGCTTGCTTCATTGTCCTGTACATATAGCCATACCTGCAATTTGTAATACAGTGACCCCTCCGTTAACGAACTCAATCCGTTCCAGAAGGTCGTTCGTTAACCGAAAAGTTCGTTAACCGAAACCATTGTTTCAATGGGTTTTTGGGTAATTGGTTCCAGCTCAACGAAAATTTCCTAAATTCAACAAAAATGGTAGAAAAGTTCACTTACTTTGAGGTGTGTATGTAGAAGGCTCCTGGATGATGATGATGATGATGGGATTTAGAATGGGGGTGGAGGAGAAGGAAGAAGAGAAGGCATTGGGGTGAAAGAGAAGTCACCCCATGGCGCCATTTCACCCATAGAATTTTAGCTCTCTGGTGTAATTCAAGATTATTTTCTTTAAATCAACACTGCACTGCATTATATATTGTCAATATGTAAAATATATTTCAAAATGACCAATAATTTGCTTGGAAACACAGAAAAAAGCGTTTAGTTGAAGAGAGTCTCAAGCAAGATGTTACCTCCAGTGAAAACAGAGAAAGACTAACTCCTGTTTGCTGTGTTAAGAGGCTGGATGCCGTGCATTAAACTAGTCACTTTACCTTCAATTATGGTCAATAATTGTTAAAATGACTAAAAAATTGAATATTGAACTTTTAAAATTATTGAATAGTATAAACTTCTTGATATTTACCAAAATAGTAAGGAATTTAAGCCCTAGAACTGATTAATGTATTGGCGGACTGATACTAAAGCTGGTTGCCCGGTCAGTGCAAGCGAAAACATGTTGAGGTCGGTTCGTAAGAACTTCGTTAACCGAATTTTTTTTCGTTAACCGAATTGAAGATCCTTATGGAAGGCAGTTCGTAAATCGAAATTACGTTAACCGAGGTGTTCGTTAAACGAGGGGTCACTGTATATATGTCAAACCAAGAATTAACGACGCCAACTCTCATCTTTATCTCCCTGCCCTACTCCCATCTCTCCATACTCAACACTTTCTTTTTGTATCTCTCCCTACCCACCTTGTATCTCTCCTTACCCACCTTGTATCTCTCCCTACCCACCTTGTATCTCTCCCTACCCACCTTGTATCTCTCCCTACCCACCACCTACTTCTCTAAAATAGTCAGTACAGTATAGTCATCCTAGTTATGTTAAGTGATATATATAGTGCACAAAACATATGTATAATTTTTCCAGATTACACCAACCCTCTCTTTTTTACCTTAAAATCAATTTAACAGTTAATAGTGACAGTACTACTTATCAAAACTTGTATAAATCGATGACAATGCATATGGCAAAATTTAAAAGTAAAAAATATGTATAATATCACTGCACACATTTGAATAACTCTGCACATACTGTACTCATCAAACACCAAATGACAAAACCTAGATTGAGACAAGAAGAGCATGTGACTCAAGAATATTAGGGGAAAAAAAGATCTAACAAGTGTTCTTTTAAAAGGTATTGTGACAGCAGTTAAAAATATATTAAGTTTGATTATCAAATATTCATTGGCAAAAAGTCCTCGCCATGTCCCGTTGACCTAAGTATAAAAGTGGACCCCAGGTGTCTGTCATTAATTGCATATTTAATCAACACAAATAGATTTCACCTGTGTTATCTAAACTACCATTTACAAGATTAGACAATAAGATTCAATGACAAATCTAATTAAAAAGTCCTAGGTTCCATTACAACTACCATCAGTGAAATCAATAAGCTATCCAAACATTACTTATTATCTATACATGCAGTTGTACTACAGTTATTATATTCTTAAACTTACTTGAACACAATAACAATGGAAGTACTTTGTCTTCTGTATAAAACCTAGCTTAAATTTTCTTTCTACCTATACCACCAAGTATTCTTAAGATATTAAAAGTGGACATTGAAAGACAAATAAGCATGTTATTATCTATTCACTCCTGAAGGGTTTTCCCACTATAATGCAGGGTGGCCAATATCAAGAACAACCACAAGTTCTCCCTTCATTCACTGGTTCTAAATGCTGTCAGGTGTGTGATGTTGGTATGGGTGTGAGAGAAAGTGAAGTAAGTTACTGGAAAGGGCTGAAAGTGAGGTGATATACAGTAGTCCATATACATTTCTTTATACCCCTAACTTGCTAAGGCTAATTTATCTACAACCTCCACAGTAATTGAATTGACTTCATATTAATTCAAAGTGCAACAGAAAACAGAAAAAGAGACATGAAATTAAAAATGCAAAGTTATTTGCAGCAGACACCACCTTTTGAGCTTCCAGCAAGATCTATGAATGTGTACAGGTACACCGTATTAATTTTTTCTACCAAGCCTATCCATGTACCTTAACTTCTGTTGTACAGTTACAAATTCTATTACATCCAGGTTTTACTAATCAACTATTAACAGCACCTGAAGTATTAGAATTCCAGGAAGACAACTACATAAATGAGGGCTCAAGTTGAAGCCTGTTATGGGCATAATTTTATATTGTAACTTAGTAGTGCCAAAAATGGAAGTGCAATAATATGGAGCATTCTTAATGTGTGTTATAAGGCTTAACTTCTATCTCATAGACAAAGTAAACAAAAACACAAGAACTGCATGGTAAGTGTCCTCTCAGTTTAGCAAAACAGTACCCAATCTACAAACCCCACTTTACGTTACCTCTTTTAATTATGCATACATCTTATATATAAATAATATCAATTAAATATCAGTATAAAAGCCAAATTAGAAAACACAGACTCTGATATTATGATAGATTACTTCCTTGAAAAATTAAAAGTTTAATATGTTGTACTCTTTTTGGCACTACTTTTTCAATCATGAATATTACTGAACAACACAAAGATAAATATAATCACTTATTCAATGTAGGAGAATAAGTCCTGCATCAATATGATGACAGTTGAAAGGACAATCAACTTCTCCCTTTAACTACAACAATGTTTTCTCTTCTCATTGTACTGGGTGGTCCAAATGTCTTGTTATCCCCCCTTTTTCTTTGACATTATAGGCTTAGATATTGTTTGTGGGGAATGTGGACAGTAATATATTCTTCATTGTTTCAGATGACCGACACAAGCTCCTATGGTGTGGGAGAATGGAATTACACTTTGCATTACCCTGTATCTATGTTAAGGTCCTCTCCATGTGATGTGACAAGATTTTTTAGACCACCCTGTACTGTATATGAAATGTTGTCTTTACAAAATCCATATGTTTAAATGTTCAATATCCCCCCCCTCCCACCACACACAAATCTATTTATACATACTGCATATATATATATATATATATATATATATATATATATATATATATATATATATATATATATATATATATATATATATATATATATATATATATATATATATATATATATATATATATATACAGGGGTATATATATTACTGTAGTACACCCTATCTCAGTACAGTACAGCCTGAGACAAAATCTTCCATTTGTTCTTTCTGTTCACCTACATACTGCACACCCATTCATATCTTTTACGCTGGAAGCTTTAATTAATAACATAATCCCTCTATATAAATTCTACCTACTGCTTATAAAATCTTATAACCTTTATCAGGCAGCGAAGGATTCCCTAGTCAGCCCCCCACTTATGTGCAAAAATTGAACCCAAGGAACATGAAACTTCTAAAGATGATGGCCACTATCCCTACAGTTAAATTTCATTGATGATACTGCCATTTAAGGGTTAAGCATCACTCTGCAATGGTAATTATCTTTCTTGGGTATCCAGGGAAGGAACTGTGATAAAGCATTTGTGACATTTAATAAACAAACATAATGCTACTTAACCTTAAAAATAACTTATGATTGTTAATTTAGGTGCTGTTGGTTCATGCTGTCTGCTGTCATAAATGTTTTAAAGACAGCCTCTTCAGATAAAGAACACTTATAGTGTAAACATCTTAGTGGATATCCTGATCCCAAAGTATTACTGTAGATACATAATTTCTTAAAACATTCCATCCCAAATTGTCCATAATTATTAGTGTAAACCACTATCATTTCACTATTAACCAAAAGGAAATGTCAGTAATTACAATTTGAATAAAAACTTATTGAATACCAGTATCAAAATACAGAGTGAGTTGTCTCTTCACATAAAACTATGATATAAAGTCATTTATTTACTTGTCAGTGATGTGTATGTCTTTTCAATAAGTAATCAAATTTTCTTTTAAAACATCATTATTGCATTCTTCTTAACCCTTAAGCCCCGGGTTAGGGTGCTGCTGGCAGTACCCCCCATGCGGGGATAAATCGAGAAATAAATCAACATTTCCAAAATTAATTAAAAAAAATAAATAAGAAATAAATAAAATAAAAAAATAAAGAATAAAATGGCGGGAAAATAGGCGGACGTTCTGGAACGTCACCCAGGGCCTAAGGGTTAATGACTTTTATATAAAATGGAAGTTGGAAAAAATTATACTTACCTCAGTTTTGAATTTGAATACCCAAACAATTAATTATGGACTTGCATCAACTTTGATAACTTGAGCTTTCCCACTACAGGTATAGAAATTTATGAGCTCTTTAGAAAAGCTTTAAAACAAATTTTAGCAATTTTAACTATAGGGTGGTGCACAGGGTTGTGTATCTTTTTGTTCACCAGTATGGGCAGTTTCAGTTTGCAAATCCTTGGGTGGACCTTCTGGGTAGAGCATGTGGTAACTGGGGGGGATCTCTCCCACCTCAGAGTGTGTAGGAGCATTGTTCTTCCAGCTCTGGCTTGCATCAGACATGACAACTGCCTCATATGGTGGAAGTGTATGTTGCCGCTGGAGTGCAGGTACAGAGGTAATTGGTGATAATCCAGTTTGCGGTACAGAGGTTCTGAAATAAAAAGTCATCTTTTATACACGCTAAAAAGACAAGCATAAAACTTGACAACAAAATCCCCACCTTTAATTTGCAGAGAGAAGGAAACTGAATGTAGCAGGTAATACAGGTAAATACTGTACATGCCTCAGGCTGTGCAGATTATGTCGAAGATTAACTTGTCCTAGGCAGTGACATTTCAGATTTACTTGTTGAGGAAATTTGCTTACCCAGATTTGATTTTAACTGGAAAACTTTAAAAAAAAAAAAAAAAAAAATATTCATATACAGTATAGTCTCGATTTATGAGGATTTCCTTTACGCGTTTGGTCATATATGTTGTATCAACTCAGAGATCACTTGTGTCGATATAAATGGTATCAGTGGCAGTAACCCTTGACATATGTTGTCATAACCCTGTCACCTCACCTCACATCTGCTGGGTGTGTAGGAGGGAAGAGGCAACACATGCAATCCCATGTCCTATTCTAACTACCACTCCCCCAGCCTCCTACAATCTGGTGTCAGTGGCAGTAACAATGGTCATGTGAGGTCATTACTCCTGTCGCCTCTACAACCTCCCAGCTTTGTGGTTCCTTTGAAATGTTGACAACTTGACACCAACTGACCAGAGGTGGGTTGGCGGCTTAGTGTAGAGATAACTACCCACACCTGAGATAGGTCACTAATTCTGGTACTTTGAAGACAAGCAGCCCCTTGACGAACCTCCTCAGTTAAGCATGTATGGTGAGGTGGAGTCACAACACCTGACAATTATCTGTCTCGATATTTTCCTCTTAAAATATTAAATTGTTCGATGGCCAAATGCCGGGTACATGGACATAAAAAATTACTTGCCCAGCCTCAAATCCAGGCACTGCTAATCTGTACAGCCTGACATGTATCTTTAATTTATTTATCACACATAAATGGCTGTAATTAGTGAAACTACAAACCTAAGTATTTTATACTTATTGCAAACATTCTCATCACACAACTTCAATTATTTGGAAACAAGGAATAAAACAACTCATAATACAGGACATTTGTGACAAAGGAATCATAAAATTACAAAGCAGTGTTTGTGACGTGTTCATCTGCATAACAGATTTTGTCATTCTTGAAAATTATTCTATCTCTTGCAGTAGTAAGAAATGAATACAAACTTGATAATCTGGATACAAAATGAACTCAATCAACAAGTAAGCTGGAAATCTTTCTAAAAAAAGAGACAGTCCAAGACCAGGCTTTCAATGAGTATAATGAATATTCTATAATTACCAAGAAAATTCTATATGTTGTACAAACTTAATAAATAAGGCGCTTAACTAAAAACTTGTACTAGCCTTACCCTGAAGGTGAGGAATTCCGAGACCTGACTTTCATGATGATTGTGAAGATGCAGCAGACAACGAGGCCCGCACCAACAATGCCTGCCAACGTAGTGATGATGGTTGTTGTTGTGGAGAATATGGGATAAGGCACTGGTTTATCTGTGAATAATAATCCCAGGGAAGAAGATTTATATCAAAGCATCTTTAAAATGATATACAAGTACTGTACAACATTTGTAGTTTAACATGACGTATAAAAGAACACTTCCAGGAAAATAATTCTTCATGTCCCTAGACTCCCCACTTCAATATTTGGTTCTACATCAACTGCCATTCACCTCGCTTGCACAGCATACTGACTCATTAAACTTTGCTGTTCATTTATGAACTATCAATTGCATCCCTTAAAATAATAGGTGCAAAGTGAGCATCAGGGTGTGGTCACACCAGTGTACAATGAAAGACAAAAGTCGTGTCGTGAAATTTGGTGAAAACATATGCCGAGGGGTTAAAACTTTTGGTGCTCTGCCTTGTGGTAGGGCTCTCATAATGCTTCACCAGTTATATTTAATCTTCGTATAAAACCGCGACACGACTTTTGTCTTTGATTGTACATTTTGCCCAAAACATGAAATTGACAAGAAGAAATGAAGCACAGGGTTCCGACCCTGTTAGTGCAACCACACTAACAGGGTCAGAACTTGACTGACTGATTGATTTGGTAAAATATCTGATGTCGCAGCCTGTGGCTATGAAAATGAAACTCGTAACATAAAACTATGATATAAATAAAATTAAATCCTATTAATATTAAATATAAAAATTAATATAATATAAATTCCTGCATTTATTTAAAAATCATAAGCAATTATGTACAGTCAGCCAAAGATGCACCGACCCCACCCCGAGTCTCGTGCCCTCAATTTTACCTGGCAATACTTGGTAAAGGAAGGCTGTATGTAAAGGTGATTGTGATAGGTGGACCTGTTTTTGGCTGTATCACTGTCAGGATAATTATTAAACAAACCAAAGGTAGAATTTTTACAATAATAAACTATTTCCAAATGTTTGTATATTTGTTTAAATAATGAAGAAAATTTTATGTGAAAATCTTGTGGCAGCTGTGGTTGTAGTTGAATTGCCAATTCATTAATAAAATTTTCTTCATTATTTAAGCAAATACTGTACTATACAAAATTTGGAATCTTCTCATGACCACAAATAACAATGACTAGTTTATTATATATATATATATATATATATATATATATATATATATATATATATATATATATATATATATATATATATATATATATATATATATATATATATATATATATATATATATATATATTTATATATACTGTATATATATACAGAAAAAGACGACATGACATCCATTCAGGAAAAAGACATGCACTTACAAAAAAATATCCATCCCAAAAATGAGGACAATAAAATTATTCATATACTGTATACACAAAAGCAAAACAGAATACAGTAATGTACACACCTGTACACTGTACTTCATCTCCCCCACCAGATGGAAATGCACAGTTGTAATGTTGGTCACACACATATTCTGGGTCGATACAGTAGTTCTTATTGCCGGTGCACATGTACTTCCCTTGGCAAACCTCTGTAAACACTGAATGTCAACCACAGACTGTGTATTAGACAGATGAATAACTACAGTCATAAGAAAGAACATAAAAAGATTAGGGCAGAAGAGGCAGTCATTATGAGCAAAGGTATTGTATTTGTAGGCAGATCAAATGGGCCCAGTACTGTTTGTCTCCAACTTAACTTGACCAAAGGGACTGGCTCTCAATCACAAAGGTCAGATTAAGTTGAGAGTCACTAGGAACGGGCTCTATTAGGACCAGTGCCCATTTGACCTCTCCTTTTATTTGATTTGAAAACTATGTTTTGACAATGATATAGCTGAGGCCTAAGAAGAATGATTCATCTCCATTACCATATTAAAAAAAAGACACCCGATAAAAATTCTGTACAAAATAATAATACAGCGATGTTCCCATTCGCCGGAACAATTGGTGCAGAGCTCTTTCGGGGACGAGAGATTTCCGAGTAACAAGACAACTCTCTCAGACCTGGAAAACTCCCACATCCCAGAATTTTTCCAGGTACGGTACAGTACTGGGACAAGTTTCCGTGAGTCTAAACTATGCATCTCGCACAGACAGATAACATCATACATCCCTGGAATGTGTCTGGGTGCTGGGGAAAATTTTACGAGAGTCTAAGTGAGTCTAAATTACTCATCTCATTGCCTCATCTCCAGAGTATAAACACTCTCGCTTTACAGTTAGACCGCGGGTACAACCAAAAATATTTACAGCTAACAAAAGTGTATAGGTAAACTTTCATTCACAACATTTGTTTTAATAGTGTTAGAGAGATGAATTTGGTACAATAATGATCATGAATAAATTCTCTACAAAATATTTTGACATGATTATAATGATGGGGACTCCATTCTCTTATTTAAAAAAAAAAATGTTGATACTGGTGTCAACAAAATCAGTTCTAATTAAGTTAGTCATAATTTTTTTACCAAAATACTGTAATCTAGAAAATTTTATCCAAAATTTTGGTTAAAGAATATATTAAAAAAAAAAATCTATATGATACAGGCATGTGACGTGTGAATGGAATTGTGAGTCACAGCCAAGACAGTAGAATTTTCCACTCTGCACTGGGGAAAGTTTTCTCAGCGAGTCTAAACTATGCATCTCACATGGACACATACAAGAGCTGTATTTATTTATGTAAACATCTCTGTACACGTACAGTATATTGTAAATAAATAAAATGTATACTACTGCTGTAATGTATGTACAGCTAGACCCCAACTTACGACTGCTTCGACTAAGACCGCCGCAGTTGTGACCATTTTTTTTTTCTTCAAATGACACATGCATTTTCTATACCGAAACGTTTCCAGTTAATGTAGTCTCCATGTATAATTAGAAAATTATGGGGGCCCCATGTGCATTCAGCTGACTACATTAAAGGTAAGTGCTCAGTCTCACTGTATCCATTCCTCATTATTTATTACTTTCACTGTACTACTGTATCCATTCCTCATTAGTTATTACTTTTACTGTACTGTATTTCACTGTAGATTTTTTATTTAATTATTTTTTTTTTTATCTACAGTATGTCGGACTTACGACCATTCGGAATTACGACCTGGATTTGGGTCCCTAACCCCGTCGTAAGTCGGGGTCTTGCTGTATATACTGTACTCACCAGTAGATGCTGCTGTCTTGAGCCTACAGTAGGGATACACTCTGCAGAATGTGATACTGTACGTAACTGTAATCACTTTTTACATCCTAACACTTGGGATGGATGTGGGATAGGGGATTAGGTGGTCTCGTGTTACTGACATGACCTGATGCAATGTCAGGTCACCCATTGTCGTGGTGGGGAACTAGTGGATCTCATGACCTGAATTTGTTTTGAATACAGTGAGTTCTGCTATAACTCGTGTTTTGATAACGCGAATTTGATCGAACGCGATTTATGAATTCGGAACAACATTTGTATAACGCGAACTCGTTTGCTCTAACGCGATTCCACTCGAACGGTTGTTGTGACTTCAGTTCACGTTCGACATCACATGTTCAATTGAGTTATGTGTTTTGTTTGTGAACAATTGCAGAAATAATGTATGTAATATTTATGTATACAGTATACCTATATATTATAAGTAAATTGTAAAATTTTACATAAAAGAGAAAATCAAATTACATAGCGTTTTACACCCGCGCTCTCTTTACATCATACACAGTGTTTACAGTTTACGTTCGACATCACATATTCAATTGATTTATGTGTTTTGTTTGTGAAGAATTGCAGAAATAATTTATGTAATATTTATGTATACAGTAAACCACTCACAAGGTCCTACAGTACCACTAATTATTTTATACTGAAACTTACGTTTGGGAAGCTGGATTAAAATGAAGATTACCGGTATATTAAAATAATAAAAATGTATTATAAACCAGTCTAACATACCGTAATAAACACAGCTGCTATTATCATCCCCCCCCACCCCCATTTGCCAGTGACAAGAAAGGGAAAGTGACCTTGACTGTGACCGCCTGTGGCTATTTTTAGCCGTCCTTGTGTTCGGAGGTGGTCAGTAATGCATATCTGTATATTTACTGATCAATATATTTATCTCCTATAAATAATTCATTTAAAATTTATTTTTTTGCAAAGAATATTCAGTAAATGACTGCATTAATTCTTGAAACTACCTACAGTGGTAAATTTAGGATATAAATAATGAACAGAAGTCACGTCATGGATTCGGAGTTTGGTCCTTAACGATCACCATAAATGTAGCCTCCCTTTGTCGCGAAACACGTATATAAATTAAAGAAAATACTTGCAGTATATTTAATATATTACAGTATATTATATATAAATAAATAAACAAATAAATTCAAATTCCCTTATCATCCTGTGTCATATACAGAAATACTTGAGTCCCTGAGCGAGTACACAAAAAGAAAACGGACATCCTGGAGTGGATAGAGAACGGACATCTCTACTGGGGGACTCAAACGTTTCTCATGTTTTGTGGGCGCTCTAGCATAATATGAATAATATGTAAATTACAATTTACTTATACAGGTATATATATATATGTAAATTGTAAAAATTTAAATAAAAGAAAAACTAAATACGTAGCGTTTAAAGTGTACTGTACAGTATGTACAGTGCTGTGGCTTGGCGCGGGGTTATGCAGTGTTTACAGTTCACGTTTGACATCACATGTTCAATTGATTTATGTGTTTTGTTTGTGAACAATTGCAGAAATAATTTATGTAATATTTATGTATACAGTATACCTGTACAGTATATGTAAAATGTAAAATTTTAACTAAGAGAGAAAAACAAAATACGTAGCGTTTTAGACCTGCGCTCTCTTTACTCCACACGTTCACTTTGCTAGACGTGAGAAATTTTTAAGCGTCCTCAGTGCTTTCTGATTTACTGTTTCCCCAATTTTGTGACTATGGAAAAGAAGAATATCTCCGGGAAGCATTCTGGTGATCGCATTTCTGGTGGTGATCGTAAAAGAAAGGCTATAACACTTGAAGGCAAGCTTGATGTTGTCAAGCGTTTTGAAAATAAGGAAAGAACATGTGATATTGTGCGTGCAACGGGAATAAAGGAGTCTACTTTGCGCACCATTAGAGCCAATGCAGCAAAGATTAAAGCAAGCTGTGTTGCTGGAAAAACCAAGAGAGCTAGCAAAAGTGTAAGATCACGGCCAAAGGAACTTGAGGAGATGGAATGGCTTCTAAGTGTTTGGATAGAAGATCAAACGAAAAAGCGATCTGGGACCAGCTTCCTCACCATTAAAGAGAAAGCCTTGTCAATATATGAGGACCTAAAGAAAAAAGCTGAAAATCCTGATGATGTGGTTGCCTTTAGTGCAAACATTAGACGTCTTTTTTAAGTCAACCCCCAAGAAGCAGACTGAAGACACTGAACCACAGCCATCCACTTCTGGAATTAGACGTTTTTTTCTTCCCTCCCATGCATCCAAAACTGCACCTGATGATGATGATACTGATGATGACGATGACAATTGTCAAATCCTGTCTGCATGACTCCTCAACCTCAACATTAACCTTCTCCCCCATCAAGTTAAATTCATATTTTTTCAAGGTAAAGTGTAACATTTACTGTATGATTTCATTATTAGATATGAATGTAACATTTATTTTGACTGTGCTATCCTTTGTGTTAGGCTAACTACGAAATTTTTTTTCGATTTGGAGTAATCTGCACCTAACCCTATTTTCTCCATAAGCCCTGTTATTTCTATTACGCGATTTTCTATAACACGATATTTTACAAGAACACAATTATCGCGTTATAGCAGAACTACCTGTAAAGACGAAAGCTAAGGTGCTCCAGTGTTTCCCACTTAACGAATGACAGTACAATTTATGTAATTGTAATCACTTTTTACATCTTAACACTGCTTTAACACTATGGTTGATTGTGTCCTGGTACAGAAATGTACAGTACTGCACAACACAAATTGTACGTAAAAACAACAGCTTGCGAGGGAGCAATCTTCTAAAACGGCAGCAGAATATGAACTACCGGTAAGCAATCCAAGCAGCTAGGCCACCCACACCCCTGGCATATGAAGATGCATTGGAGCATGATGCAATCTCTCGGAACTCCCACACAATTTATTACCAGGCCCAGAACGGAGTGGTTTCGAGAGATTTTCTAGGATCCTTCTTGGATTTTTACCGAAAATGCGCCTGATTTTCATCCTCAGAAACTCATTAACAGACCCGGAATGGAGAGAGTTTTCCCGGAAAATTTCTGGCCCAATTTCTATTCTAACTACTGGAGAGTTCCAGGGATTGGGGATTCTGGCTAACGGGGAGATTACTGTAATAATTATAGGTGTTCAGATTTTTTTATAAACTGCAATGCCATTCAATATCTACAACTACTGATTCCTAAATTAGTTTGGTAAGCTTCTACCAGCTTATATGAATGGCTACGATTTAATATTTTTGCATAATATGAAGATTAACTCCCAGCTAATTTTCACCTGATGACTAAACACCCAAA